CTGTATCTCCTCAACCCCTTGGTTCTACCTTGGTCGTTGGTCTTTACTTTATCTTTCACATTTGCGCTTTTCCTCTTTTCTGCCCAGGTGTGGGTGACGGCAGGGAGGGACATTTTTCGTCGCCCTGCAGGCAGTTCGTCGAAGAGTACAGGTACGGAACACAAGGCCATGCGTCTGAAATTCGGGGGGGAAGATGCAGTGGCCCAAGCTACAGTTCAACACTTTTTGGCTACACTTATTATGTTTTGCTAGTTTTGTAAGGAGCTAAATAATTGGCTTGTGCGCTCGTAAATCTTAATTACTGCAAAGTGCTTTTAGCTTGATACGACAAGGCACAGTGTTCTGTGCATTTGCGGTAAATGCCGTGTGCTATTAGTAGCAAATGCTCGGAGTGCTTTGAGGGTGTAGCTACAAGTACCCTAGCTGTCACTCCCCCTTACATCAGAATCGCCAGCAACCAGGGCAGGGAAAGGCTTGAGTTCACTTGATAAATGCTCAATAACTTTCTGTTAAGTGTGAGTCGAGTTTGGATTGTGATGCCTCCCTACGGGGAAATTAGATAGAGCGTAACGATATCGATACATGGCGCAAGTAATATGAAGCAGGCGTACACTTTAAGCCATCTCATATACACATTGAGCGCAGGATAAGTCAGTTTAATCTGCAGCATCTCCTTTGCATTCATGCTGGTGAACTTGCAAGGTGCCTACCGCAACTATTCCTCCTTCCTTACTCGTGCCTTCTCACTAACTCCCGATTCTGTCCTTGACTGCATGCAAGTAGTGAAGCTCTACTGCAATAAGCTGTCAAAATTAGCGGGCACAAACAACCCATTATGCACCTCCATAAGGTCAAGAGTCGGTGAGTGAACCCACTCCCCACACCAGGGCCCTCCATGTGCAATTCTGCCTAGGGGAATCCCTTTGTCCCCTAGGAAACCCCCTTGGGGCCTCCCCGGGGACCACAACAGCAGCCCCGAGAAAAACCACAAGCTGCCCACTGGAGGCCCTTGACGCGCAGAGAGGCACGAAGCACAACCAACAAGAGGAACACGGTGTATACAAGACGCAATGCTGTTTCTGCTCTTGCCGCCCGCGCCGTTGCAACAACAGCAGTAGCAGCCTGCTAGTCTCCCTCTTTCCCTCTCGTGGCCAACAGCACCCACACCTCGCCCTCGCAAAGTGCACTGCAGCAGCAAGGGGACCTTCAGGGTACTCAGTGCCCACATGCGCTGCGTCGGCGCAAATGGAAGCAGCCCGTGGCTGCCGCTGCTGCTGCCAAAACGAACCCATGTGGAATCTGCAACGCGGTAGAGTCATGCCCTTCTTGGCGACCCTGAAGCCCCTCCTGCCCCCTCAAAAACAAAGGCCCCGGCAGCAGCAGAAGCAGGTGCAGCAGCACCGTCCCCCCGCTGCTGCTCCGGGTTTGTGCGGCGTCCCCCTACAGCCAGAGCTCCCTGCGCTGGCCAAACGCGGCCGTCAGTGTTGTTGCAGAGAAGAGGAGCTGGAGGCGCACTTCCCGTACGGTGGAGCTCTGCTCCGAACCCTCTGGAGGGGCCCCCGCCTGGAATTATACCCGAGTGGGGCCCCGCCCCCGGGGCCCCCCGCAAACGATCGCCACCAACAGCAGTGCCGTTGTCCGTTGCTGTTGCAGCGGCTGGTATGCCCAGGATGGCCTGGGAGTGCTGGTGCTGCTGCCGCATGCCGACAACTCCGCTGCTACCCACACGACCAATTGCAGTCCACGGTCCTTGTTGCTGCTGCTGCTGGGGGTGGCTCCCCATGCGGCTACCAGGACCGGCACTAACGTAACGGCTGATTGCTCCAGGGCCTCCCAGCATTAGGTCACCGTTAGAGGCCCCATCTTGTTTCAGTTCCGCGTGTACGGGGCCCCCCATATCTTGGGAGGGTGGCGAGGTAAGGGACCCTAGGGGGCCCCCCCTATGGGGTTTGTGGGCTGTTGCACCCAGTCCATAAATGACGCCTGAGAATTTTGCTTCATCGATTTTCCCGTTGAAATACGAGTCCACAAGGTTGAAGAAAGTGCGGCATGTAACAAGACTGTCGCTGCCAGCCTGATGCTGCGGTCCGACTCGCTGCACGTTCAGCTGTTCACTAACCTTTTGTAAGCTGCTGCCTTGGCTGAGGTTGAAGTTTGGAAGATCCCTCAAAAGGAACTTGATGTCATAGAGTGAGGGAAAGAAGTCCTGGATGAGCTCGAAAAAGGCATTTTCTGATTCGGGCAGCGCCTCACAGGTTAGAAGCTTGAGGAGGTACCCAAAGTCGTAGCATCCATGAAATGAGATCCACTTGACATCTTCATTCATTACTAATCCGCTGTTCATGATAAGCTCCCCGAAATCATGCACCTCCACTCCTTTTTTCTGTTGCTTATCAAAGTCGATGCCACTCTGCTTAAGGAAGTCGATGCTATTTTGCGCGTACATGTCTTCGTTCAGATCAAATCGAAAGTTGAATTGCCACGTGCAGGTTCCCTCCGCCAGCCGGCCCCTGCTATCCGCAAAGGTCAGCCCCAATTGAATTACCTTCAGGAGGTCAACATTGTACTTCACCGTCCGGTAGTTGTAGTCCAACGCGTTCGAGGTTGGACGCGCTACGATTCCCGGAAACTCTGTGTCCTGAAAAAACGAATAAATGGTATAAAAGGATCGCAAAAGAAGAGTGCAGAGCTGGCCAAAGGGGATGCATATACCAAAACAAGAGACAGTGAGCCGACAGAATAAGAAACCAGCAAAAAAAAGAGCATTTTGAACCCAGTGCGCAAAGTTCTCCTCGGCTAACCACTACTTAGACTCATCATGACGATGTGTACGAAGCAAAATCCCCATCGCCCCACACAAACACGCACGAACAATATCGCACAAAATGTATGCAGAATCAAGGGAAAAGTTTGCATAAGCAACAGTTAATGCGAAAGGGTAGGAAGCTTAAAGTGCATTCAAGCTCACAAGGTCAATATCGCCTGTACCACGTATGGGAAAGGGAATAATAAATACAGCCAAGCGGATGGGCATACACCACCCCACAGTGAGGAATGAAGCTAACTGACTTAACAACAGAAATGTATACATAAATTCAAACGCATAAATATACATACTCAGGACCTCAATCTGTCAAAGCAGGAAGACAACACACTGATCGCCATACACACACAAAGACAATCAATTGATCAGCCTTACCAAGGCGATGTAGGGATACCTCTCCACGACATCCCGGATACGCTCGAGTTCCTCTTCTGCAGCCAACGATACCGCAGCAGCGCCAATGCTTTCCCACATGTCCACACAAACACTCCGGAAGAAATTTCGCAAAAGTGAGCGATTCTGAAATAAACGAGACCTCCTCCGGCGCAAGCAGAGTACAGAAGGGAGGGAGCCGGAAGAAAACCGTTTCTACGCCAAACCTCACCGAGATTGTGCGCCCAGACCTCTATTATTTGGCCGCGAAGAGCCTCGCCGTAGCCATTCATGAGGGCGAAGAGAAACAACGGCTGCTGTGGCGCAATGCAGTTTCACAGCACAACAGGCGACTTTCATGAGTCCCAGGGGACCTCGTTTTGTCCTCATGAAGACTCGCAATATATATACATAGATCTATCAATTCACCGTAACGAGAAATTGCGTTTGCTAGGTTCCATATGGTAAAGATCTTCACCGCTTAGGCGTTTGTTCACATATGAGCCTCCACTGGACGACATTCCATGCCTTTTCATTCCTAGTGCAAAACTATTATGTGCAAAGTGCTACTGCCGCTGCTCTTTCCAGCCCATACTCTCCTCTACTACTATTTCTACTCCAAAACCGTGTGCTGTGCTATCGTGCTTGCTTTGGTGCACACCTCCACTAGAGAGCACGCCAGACCCGAGAAAACGCCTGTGAGAGTGCAGCCGCCGCTGAGTGGCAGCCCCTTCCTACAGCAGCTCGACCGGCGGCTGCTCCCTTAGTGCAAGCGGAAAATGCAATAAGCCGCTGCTTGCTGCAGCAAAGGGACCCTCTCCCAGGCCCACGGCGAAAGAAGGAAGGCGACGGGGGAGAGGCGGGCAGATGCATGTACGACACACACAAAAGAATCCCCGGTAATGCGGAACCCTCGCGGCGAGGGACCCTCAGGTGCCCAGGCAGTCCATCAGGAGCTCCACAACTGCAAATCAAAGACACACAAGTAGAGCATGAACAAGAACTGTGGCATGCTTTCCACTCCTAAACACCAGAACCCAGCAGCAGCAACACCGCCCCAGACAAAAATACAACAAACCCCATTCTTTGAGGAAGAGTGGAGCACGGGAAGTCCATGGATTACAAAAAGGTAATCTGCTAACACGGAAACCAGAGCCACACCCCGGGGGGCCCTTGTCTCTCGACTCCCTGCCACTGTTTCCCCGGGAAAACAGATCGCACTCAGTGGCAAAGGCAGGCCTGGGGAATCTGAAGGATATGCTGCACAGGATTAAGCTGGGTGCATCCCTTAGCATCCCACCGAGAAAGTTGTTCTGTACCTAGAGGCGCCGCCCTACAGACTGTTTCACCCGTAATGTCCAGATAAACATAGGCCCTGCTGCATGCTAGGGGAGTGTGGCAAAACTGAGGGCCTCGCGCGGTAATTCCGGGTTCTACAGACGCCCCCTAAGGCCCCTGGCTGTCCCCAAGTGATGCATGCATACACGCACAACAACGGAAGACGCGTCAAGTCTGAGTGGTGGGTGAAAGGAACTCTCTCGATAGCCCCAGAAGCAGGGGAGGCTTCCAAGAAACACTGACCCGTATCTGATCTCTACAACAGGAGGAGAGAGTAGCAGTAACGGCCTGACCGAGCGGCAGTAGCAGCCGCACGTGCTGCTGAGTCGAGGAACCGCGTGCCGGAGAGGCGGAGAGAAATGACTGCTTGGGGGTTTCAGGCGGAGCTGAATCAAAAAAAATGCCTCAGAGGTGCCAACTAGAAAGATTAGAAGCGTGCTGGGAGGTTTAAGGAAAAGGGGCGGCAGCTACGGCTGCTGTTGTTGATGTTGCTGTTCTTGTAAGCTTCGCCGCAGACAAACGGGACAGCAGCTGCTAGGCGAGCGATTAGATCTTCCGTCCTCTGGCCAAAGCCTAAAAGAGCGACAGTGGAGGGTCTTATAAGAACAGGGCTTTATTGCTCTCCCGTAGACAATCTTTTCCCTTAGTATCAGCAGATGCCCAGGCCGACGCTAACCACCACACCCTCTCTCTGCCCCTCCAGCAACCGAAGCAGAGCAGCCATCAGTAACAGATTTACTCATGCAGAGGTGCACTTCTTATATAAAAGCAAAACAATTCATGACATTCGTCCAAGGTTAATATGCTTTCCCTGCGGAACAATCCGATATTTCCTGTACACCGCGCAAAGGTGGGCGCAGCTGCTCCTTCACCCAAATGAAAAGTTTTATATTGAAGATGCCATTCTGTGTATTCTTAATTCCGAGTGAATGTCAGAGTATGCTTGATCTCTTCGGGTTGGTCATGCAGGATCCCACGTAGGGGAGCAATCACATTTGTTTTGCAAGAGATGTAATATGTACCCGTTTGCGCTTGTACTCCGGCACTATTTAGGCAGCTGCTGAGAGGGGCTAGTTTACACTCACTCTCATACCGTTTGAGCAGGCTGTATTTAGTTATTGTTAAACTGGAAAAAGCAACACATTTCGGACAAGATTCCGATTTCTTCAACCGGTAAGGCCAGCATTCCGTCCTGTGGATCTTTGGTGTCTGCCTGCACCCTGTGGCTGCTTTGTGCGAATCAGCACACCTAAATACAGTGATCTGAGGGTGTAACTAACTGCTCCTAAGTAGATATCATCCCAAGGGCCTTGTAAGCCTTGGGATTGAGCACAAGGGAAGCCACACAGGTCCTATTTTACAGCTATTTTGTAGCGGGCTATGCCACACTTGGATGTGTTTTGCAAGAGTGATATTGATCAAGAACTACTGGCGAGTTAGTTATTGGTATGTCCGTCTCAATATCTTGTATACCAGAGTACAGCGTTAGCACCAAACAATAAGCCGCAAAGCTATGTGCTTCTGCAGTAGATGCTGTGCGAAACTAGCTAAGAATCCTCGACGTTGGGGTAGTGCAGTTACGCGCACCTTAGCAATCGCTCTCCTCTTTTTGGGATGTGTTGGCAGGGGCGGAAAGGGTCCCTATCGACAATAGATGGCGGGGTGAGCTACTGTTACGCTCCATCAAAGGCTTCCGTAGCGAGGCACTTAACTCCACGCACTATGGAAGCGTAATAAAAGGCAATTTAGTTGTTCACTCGGCCCTCAGAATCCCGAAATCAGGAGGCTGGAATAGCTAGAGTGGGTGTGCCTGCACCCCCTGCACTTCGGGCATTCACAACAAGTTGCACACCGCATCATCCGCACACCCAAAAAACATTGCGTCTTCGTACGTCAAGTTAACAGCACACTGCAATAAGTACGGTATACAAACAAACCAGCTGCTTAGTTCTACACTAATTCGAAGTTGAAAAAACAACTGTAGGTAGGAGCGTCGAAGTTTAGCTTTGCCTGAGAGATTTTTGCCCCCTGCGTTTAGAATCACACACCCTCATTTTCGCTACACGAACCCCAGAGACCAACTGTTTGCAGGACAGCGAAAGAAATCCTTCTCCCCGCGAGTGCAGAAACGCAAAGACAGCGCAAGCGTGAAGAGCAAAGTCTAGAGGTACAGATAAAAGAAGGAAGGAAGGAAACGCAC